TATGAACCTGAACAAGCAGAGTTGCCAGAGTATGAACCTGAACAAGCAGCGTCTAAAGCTGTACAGGTTCAAGAAGAGTTGCCAGAGTATGAACCTGAACAAGCAGCATCCAAAGCTGTACAAGTTCAACCTGAATAACCAGCGTTCGAAGTATGAACCTGAACAAGCAGCGTCCGAAGCTGTACAGGTTCAAGAAGAGTTGCCAGTGTATGAACCTGAACAAGCAGCGTCCAAAGCTGTACAGGTTCCAGAAGAGTTGCCAGTGTATGAACAGTGCCTGGAATGAGAAATAAGGGCTTGATAACATATATAACAATATATATATATATTATATATATATATATATATATATATATATATATATATATATTATATATATAATATATAATATATAATTCAAGAAGAGTTGCCAGTTCGAAGCTATTCAGGTTCCAACTCTACTGGCATTTGCATATTACGTACATAAGCGTATAATTTGTGGGCATATATTAATTCTTAATATGTGGAACCCTCGAATATGGCTATGCTATGATGTGTATGAGAGAGAGAGAGAGAGAGAGGGAGAGGGAGAGGGAGAGGGAGAGGGAGAGAGAGAGAGGGGAGAGAGGGAGAGGGAGAGAGAGAGAGAGTGTGAGACGGGATATAAGCCAGAACCACACACACACATTATATATATACATAAAGAGAGAGGGAGAGAGATAGAGGAAGAGAGATAGAGGGAGAGAAAGATATATATACACACGCACACATGTATGTATTATATGTAGGTGTGTATCACACACCCACAGCCAGAACCACACAAACACATATATATACATTATACATAGAGAGAGAGGGAGAGAAAGAGAGAGAGAGGGAGAGGAAGAGAGAGAGATAGAGGGAAAGAGATAGAAAGAAAGGAAGAAAGAGAAAGAAAGAGAAAGAGAGATGGAGAGAAAGAGAGAGAGGGAGATGGAGAGATGGAGGGATAGAAAGAGAAATATAGAAATAGAGAAAGAAGAGAGGAAGAAAGAGAAAGAAGAGAGAACCCCCCACCTCCCTCCTCATCCCTACCCCCCTCCTCCTCCTCCCTCTCCCATCCTCCCCTTCCCCCTCCCCCCTGAGAGATGGGAGAGAGATGGAGAGAAAGAGAGAGAGAGAGATAGAGAGGAGGGAGAGAAAGAGAAATATAAAAATAGAGAAAGAAAGAGAGAACCCCCCACCCTCCTCCTCCCTCTACCCATCCTCCCCTTCCCCTCCTCCTCCTTCTCCCCCCCTTCCCCCTCCTCCTCCTGCTCCCCCCCTCCCCCGTCTACCAAGGGTATAACGATGTTCCAAGAAAAGGTATTGTATGTGCTAGTGTGTTTGCGTGCGGTTTATTAATCAAACGGAAATGACGTATCTAGGTAATTAAAGACTTTAAAACATTTTCAAAATGAATAAAACTGTTAGAGAAAGTAACGCATGTAGCGAACACAAGCACACACTTGTACGGATCCAGGACTACACCATTGGATTTTGTTTCGTTTTGCTCTTTTCGATAATTTTGGTAGAGTTGCTAAGCAGTAAGTTGCTTGCTTTAATCCTCCTGTTAACTGTGATCAGGATCATTTCTGCAAGAGTGCAACCTCAGCCAATGATGAGAAAGGCTTCACGAGAAGAATCGGATCCCTCCCAGCCCGAAATGGGTTGGAGGAACCTGGCACAAGGAGGTATTGACTTGCTGGAAAAGGTGCCACCTCTACTTATGCTTCCTCAAGAACGTGGGCAACCACCAGTTCTAAGAAAGGCTTCACGAGAAGAATCGGAGTCATCCCAGCCCGAAATGGGTTGGAGGAACCTGGCACAAGGAGGTATTGACTTGCTGGAAAAGGTGCCACCTCTACTTGAGATGCTTCCTCAAGAACATGGGCAATCACCAGTTCTTGGACCTGAACAGTCTCAGGGTCAACCAGGGTTTGGACCTGAACAGTTTTCACTTGTACCAGAAGCTGAACAGTTTCTTGATCAACCACGTGGGCAAAGACAGCAGGTGGCAGCAGTTCAGGAATCTTCCCACTGTCAAATGGGAACGGCGAAGCTGGTAATAGAACTACCTCTACCCCAAATTTTAAAAAATCTTGGACTTGAACAGTCTCAGGGTTAACCAGTTAACCCTGAACAGTTTTCACTTGTACCAGAAGCTGAACAGTTTCTTGATCAACCACATGGGCAAAGACAGCAGGTGGCAGCAGTTCAGGAATCTTCCCACTGTCAAATGGGAACGGCGAAGCTGGTAATAGAACTACCTCTACCCCAAATTTTAAAAAATCTTGGACCTGAACAGTCTCAGGGTCAACCAGGTTTTGGACCTGAACAGTTTTCACTTGTACCAGAAGCTGAACAATTTCTTGATCAACCACTGGTAATAGAACTACCTCTACCCCAAATTTAAAAAAATCTAGAGATACTTCTAGAGAAAGTTTATGGACCTGAACAACCAGCATTCGAACCTGAACAGGTTCAAGAAGAGTTGCCAGTGTATGAACCTGAACAAGCAGCGTTCGAAGCTGTACAGGTTCAAGAAGAGTTGCCTGAACCTGAACAACCAGCATTCGAAGCTGTACAAATTCAAGAAACTGAACCTGAACAAGCAGCGTCCGAAGCTGTACAGGTTCAAGAAGAGTTGCCAGAGTATGAACCTGAACAAGCAGCGTTCGAAGCTGTACAAGTTCAAGAAGAGTTGCCAGTGTATGAACCTGAACAAGCAGCGTCCGCTGTACAGGTTCAAGAAGAGTTGCCAGTGTATGAACCTGAACAACCCGCATTCGAACCTGAACAGGTTCAAGAAGAGTTGCCAGAGTATGAACCTGAACAAGCAGCGTTCGAAGCTGTACAGGTTCAAGAAGAGTTGCAAGAGTATGAACCGGAACAAGCAGCGTTCGAAGCTGTACAGGTTCAAGAAGAGTTGCCAGTATATGAACCTGAACAAGCAGCGTTCGAAGCTGTACAGGTTCAAGAAGAGTTGCCAGTATATGAACCTGAACAACCGCTGAACAGGTTCAAGAAGAGTTGCCAGAGTAGCTGAACAAGCAGCGTTCGAAGCTGTACAGGTTCAAGAAGAGTTGCCAGTGTATGCACCTGAACAAGCAGCATTCGAACCTGAACAGGTTCAAGAAGAGTTGCCAGTATATGAACCTGAACAAGCAGCGTTCGAAGCTGTACAGGTTCAAGAAGAGTTGCCAGCGTATGAACCTGAACAAGCAGCGTTCGAAGCTGTACAGGTTCAAGAAGAGTTGCCAGCGTATGAACCTGAGCATTCGAACTTTCAGTTGCCAGTATGAACCTGAACAAGCAGCGTCGAAGCTGTACAGGTTCAAGAAGAGTTGCCAGGACCTTCGAAGCTGTACAGGTTCAAGAAGAGTTGCAAGAGTATGAACCTGAACAAGCAGCGTCCGAAGCTGTACAGGTTCAAGAAGAGTTGCCAGAGTATGAACCTGACAAGCAAAGCTGTACAGGTTCAAGAGAGTTGCCTGAACCTGAACAAGCAGCGTCCGAACTGTACAGGTTCAAGAAGAGTTGCAGAGTATGAACCTGAACAACAGCGTCGAAGCTGTACAGGTTCAAGAAGAGTTGCCAGAGTATGAACCTGAACAAGCAGCGTCCGAAGCTGTGAGAGTTGCCAGTGTATGAACCTGAACAAGCAGCGTCGAAGCTTACAGGTTCAAAAGAGTTGCCAGAGTATGAACCTGAACAAGCAGCGTCCGAAGCTGTACAGGTTCAAGAAGAGTTGCCAGAGTATGAACCTGAACAACCAGCATTCGAACCTGAACAGGTTCAAGAAGAGTTGCCAGCGTATGAACCTGAACAAGCAGCGTCCGAAGCTGTACAGGTTCAAGAAGAGTTGCCAGAGTATGACCTGAACAAGCAGCGTCCGAAGCTGTACAGGTTCAAGAAGAGTTGCCAACCTGAAAGCAGCGTCCGAAGCTGTACCTCTGAAACAAGCAGCGTCCGAAGCTGTACAGGTTCAAGAAGAGTTGCCAGTATGAACCTGAACAAGCAGCGTCCGAAGCTGTACAGGTTCAAGAAGAGTTGCCAGTGTATGAACCTGAACAAGCAGCGTCCGAAGCTGTACAGGTTCAAGAAGAGTTGCCAGAGTATGAACCTGAACAAGCAGCGTCCGAAGCTGTACAGGTTCAAGAAGAGTTGCCAGTATATGAACCTGAACAAGCAGCGTCCGAAGCTGTACAGTTCAAGAAGAGTTGCCAGAGTATGAACCTGAACAAGTACGAAGCTGTACAGGTTCAAGAAGAGTTGCCAGAGTATGAACCTGAACAAGCAGCGAACCTGAACAACAGCATTCGAACCTGAACAGGTTCAAGAAGAGTTGCCAGTATGAACCTGAACAAGCAGCATTCGAACCTGAGCATTCAACCAGGTTCAAGAAGAGTTGCCAGCGTATGAACCTGAACAAGCAGCGTCCGAAGCTGTACAGGTTCAAGAAGAGTTGCCAGAGTATGAACCTGAACAAGCAGCGTCCGAAGCTGTACAGGTTCAAGAAGAGTTGCCAGAGTATGAACCTGAACAAGCAGCATTCGAACCTGAACAACAGCATTCGAACCTGAACAGGTTCAAGAAGAGTTGCCAGCGTATGAACCTGAACAACCAGCATTCGAACCTGAACAGGTTCAAGAAGAGTTGCCAGTATATGAACCTGAACAACCAGCGTCCGAAGCTGTACAGGTTCAAGAAGAGTTGCAAGAGTATGAACCGGAACAAGCAGCGTCCGAAGCTGTACAGGTTCAAGAAGAGTTGCAAGAGTATGAACCTGAACAAGCAGCGTCCGAAGCTGTACAGGTTCAAGAAGAGTTGCAAGAGTATGAACCGGAACAAGCAGCGTCCGAAGCTGTACAGTTCAAGAAGAGTTGCCAGAGTATGAACCTGAGCGTCCGAAGCTGTACAGGTTCAAGAAGAGTTGCAAGAGTATGAACCTGAACAAGCAGCGTCCGAAGCTGTACAAGCTCAAGAAGAGTTGCCAGAATATGAACCTGAACAAGCAGCGTCCAAAGCTGTACAAGTTCAACCTGAATAACCAGCGTTCGAAGCTGTGCAGGTTCAAGAAGAGTTGCCAGAGTATGAACCTGAACAACCAGCGTTCGAAGCTGTACAGGTTCAAGAAGAGTTGCCAGAGTATGAACCTGAACAAGCAGCGTCCAAAGCTGTACAAGTTCAACCTGAATAACCAGCGTTCGAAGCTGTGCAGGTTCAAGAAGAGTTGCCAGAGTATGTACCTGAACAAGCAGCGTCCGAAGCTGTACAGGTTCAAGAAGAGTTGCCAGAGTATGTACCTGAACAAGCAGCATCCAAAGCTGTACAAGTTCAACCTGAACAACCAGCGTTCGAAGCTATTCAGGTTCTAGAATGGTTGCCAGTGTATGAACAACCAGCGTTCGTAGCTACTCCGGTTCTAGAAGAGTTGCCAGTGTATGAACAACCAGCGTTCGAAGCTATTCAGGTTCTAGAATGGTTGCCAGTGTATGAACAACCAGCGTTCGTAGCTATTCCGGTTCTAGAAGAGTTGCCAGTGTATGAACAACCAGCGTTCGAAGCTATTCCGGTTCTAGAAGAGTTGCCAGTGTATGAACAACCAGCGTTCGAAGCTATTCCGGTTCCAGAAGAGTTGCCAGTGTATGAACAACCAGCGTTCGAAGCTATTCCGGTTCCAGAAGAGTTGCCAGTGTATGAACCACCAGTGCTTGAGCCTTGAGGCAACAGTGAGCTACGGCATTCTACGTTAATGTGCATGCACAATGTACCTTGATAACTCCCTGGAAGAAATAAGGGCTTGATAACATTCGCTGAAAATGACGCGTTCCTTGACAACTATTGGGCTATAATATATATATATATATTTATATATATATATATATATATATATATATATATATATATATATATATAGAGAGAGAGAGAGAGAGAGAGAGAGAGAGAGAGAGAGAGAGAGAGAGAGAGTATGTGAGTAGGTATTTATGTAGACTACAAATTTATTACAGCCATGATTTTTTTAATATATACATTGACTTGGACTCCAGGATTAAACTTCAACCTCTCGTATCGCGTGAGATAGAATTCTGAACTACTGCATGCGGGTTATTCTTGCGATAGAAGTGGAACAGAAATTGCAAAACACTGTGCTGTCAGTTACATTTCATGGACATTCCAGACGATGTTGATACTGGGTCAGTGATTATGATAGGGACGTCATGGTTGAAATAATTTAAATATTACCATGTGTTATACTGCCATAATCATCAAATAGCCGAAATACCTTGTAAAGACATAACGAGAGTTTACCCACATTTGAAAATACAACGAATCCTAAGGGGCAGATTCCCCAAAGTCTCCCACAATTTTATTAAGATCCGAATGCATCAAAATCTATGGTGGATCATGGGGCAATCCACTCATAAAGGTTCCTCATAATCCGTCTGCTACTTTCTATTCTGCAGGTAAGCGACTTCGAAGACGGAAGCGAAAATGAGATTAACGAATAAAAGGGAGGAAAGAGATTCAAATGATCTAAAGATGTGAGAAGAGAGAGAGAGCGAGAGAGAAGAGAACAGAGAGGGAGAGAGAGAGAGAGAGAACAGAGAACAGAGATGGAGAGAAGAGGACAGCGAGAAAGAGAAAGAGAGAAGAGAGAGAAAAAGAGATATAATGCATTTTACCTATACAGTGAATTGAGGCCATGGACACATATAATAAAACAATGCTCTTTGCACTAAACTTTACTCACGCAAAGTTAATGGTGATACATTCATGAGTACGAATTTACAGCTAAAACTGCATAAAAAAACTGCATTGTCTTTTACTTTAATGCTATGATTAATAGGAACTTTGGCTTGGTTTTATATTGGTTTCTGAAATAAGTATAGGGTCCGTTTGAACGCCAGTAATTTTGACAAATTGTGACCGTTTATGGTCCAAGGAAATACTTTGATCTTTGATGTTACTTTTTTTGTTTTATTTTTTTGCATCTATTATCATAATAATCACGTCATAATTACTATTATTATTATTTAATAGCAATTTATTATTATTATTATGTAACTTTCCGCAAATTATTTCAGTATCATAATTCTCTGCTACTTTTTTCTATTACTATCATTATTGCCTCCATTAGCACCGGTTATCATCGTCATTATTTTCATCATTTCATGTATCACTATTAATCACTATCGACAATGGCATTATTTTGGCCTTTAGTACCAAAATCACGTTATAATCCTTGCTGTTATCACCCTTACAGATAGCTGGCATTATTATGTCGTACTTGGTGGTCGTCCTGCAGTTCCGGTGAACGCGTGGCATCAGAGGTCAAAGGTCACAGCGTCTCGGCTTTGGCTTTGGATTCGTGTTTCGAGCACGGAATGGTGTGTGTGTGTGTGTGTGTGTGTGTGTGTGTGTGTGTGTGTGTGTGTGTGTGTGTGTGTGTGCGTGTGTGCGTGTGTGTGTGTGTGTGTGTGTGTGTGGTGTGTGTGT